ATAAAGTTTTATTGGAACACAGCTGTATTCACTCATGTACTATCTATACACATTTCCACATAACAACAGCAGAGTTGAGTATTACAAGATCTATCATGTGGCCTAAAACACACTGGCTATCTGGTCCTTTATGAAAAAAATGTGCCAGAATCTGGCAGAGGTCTCAGGTATAGTAATAACTGTTGATACTGCTGAGCACGTAATGTGTTTCAGGGAGTGTTCTATACTCGTCACAGAGACTAATTTGTTTAGTTCTCACAACCTTATGAAGTGGCTTCTATTTATGGCAGCTAGTTTTAAAGGTAGCCTCACTGACCCACATCTCCTGGGATTTACACCCTATGTAGCCCCTCCCACCTGGAGCCTGGGGCAGCCTACACCTGGTGCTGACTAATAGACCTCGGGAGAGCGCCAGGCCTCAACTTTAAGGGAACTGGTAGCTTCTGATTCATGCCTTTGGGAATACTCCGGGGTACCTCTGAGATCTGCAGAGCAGAAGGGGAGGCCATAGGGAAAGGAAGACTCTCAGACTCCAAGAGGGCAGGGTCCCAAGGAGCCTAGACACCAGATGACCTAGCTCCAGGCACTATCCAAATGCACTTAACCTGAAAGACCCCAGGGAAGAGCTCCGCTGAAACAGGTTACCTCATAGGAGCAGGAGACAATATTTGGGTGGCCACTATGTTTTTCCAGCTGAGACCTGGCCACTTCTAGGATGAGCGCTGGTTGACATGAACTTTTTTTTTTTTCGCCTTTCCTTGTTTAGTGGTTAGGAGCCTTATGTGACTTTCCATCCTCTGAGAACACTGATTAAATCTGAATATTGGAGAAAGGGAACCCACAGACGTCCCAGAATTTGAGAAACATGGCTCTAGCCACTGTTTCTACAACATGGTCTAACATTAAAAAAAATGCTCACTATATTTATTTAAGAAACAGGTTCTTGCCTTGCATTCCAACAGCTGGCGTAATTCCTTTTGAAGGCCCTTTAATATGTAACATTGACATGCTCCGTTGATGAATCCTGTGCTCAACTGTCCTTAGAGAAATGGTGAGACAGAGTCCAGCTCTCAGGTGTGGAAAACTGTGCAACATATTCTTCCAAACAATCCAGCCATCTCGCTTGGATATTCTCACCTCAAATAAGTGATGTCCATCAAAAACAGGCACGATGCTATACATAGCCACTTTATTTATGGTGGTCCCAAACTAGAAGCATCCTCAATGGCATTCACAGGAGCATCAATACATTATAGTGTATTCACACAATGGGATCTGGGTAGAAAGAGAATGATGTGCTGGCCAGGGATGGTGGCACATACCTGTAATCTCAAAACTCTGGAAGGCATACGTTTGAATTCAGCCTGGACAATTTAGTGAGATCTTTTCTCAAAAAGCAGGTGGGGACAGGGGAGGTAGCTAAGCATGAAGCCCCTGGGTTCAATCCCTAGTACCACAGAGAGAGAGAGAGAGAGAGAGAGAGAGAGAGAGAGAGAGAGAGAGAGAATGAATCAGACAGATAGAAAGACAGAGAAGAGAGAGAAACTGATTGACTGATTGATATCAACAGTGTAAGTATGGATGTATGATTTTTGCAGACATGCTGTCGTGTGAAAAAACAAATACTGAAAATAGATTCTATTTGAATGAAGTTTGAGGTCAGATAAGGCTAATCAAAATAGTTGTTATGTCTGTGTGGGCGATGTGTAAATTCTGTTCACAAGATATAAGGAAGGCTTCCCAGGTGGTATTTACAATCACGAAGCAATCGAGGTTTTGGTGGACACCAGCACTTGTTTAAGATGGGAATACCTAGGAGTGGGTGACTGGGTGGTTTGGTAAGTATATGTTGAACTCTGTGGGAAATTGCTGCACAGTTTTCCACACCTGAGAACTGGAAACTTCTGTATAGCTTTTCACACCTGAGAGCTGGTATGGAAATCATTATCTGCATTTGGAGCCCCCTAAGAGGCCTTTCTTGCTTATTTGCTTATTGAAGATGTATATTATACATTGAGATGCAGGTAATGGTGATGCTATCCTGAGTGTATAGACTAACCAATGAAACATGTTCACATTCAGTATTGAGTCTGGTACAACATACTATTCTAGGTCTCTGGAAAGGGAACCTAAGGCTGTGAGATCCCAGACCCTGTCCATGGATTTTATAATCATAGGGGAAATACCTCAGTACAAGGCTGAAGTGTATTTTTGTATACATTTGTTGTTTATTAAGCACCTACTCTGTGGTAGGCATTGAACTAGGCATGGCAAATGGAGTGGCAATCCAAACTCACCCCTCTCCTGAAGGTACTCATACCACAATCTAATTTTGAACAATGTACCCCCTGTTTTATCTTAACATTTTCCAAATTTATTTCCTATCTCCCACTGTTCTAGTTCAGTCTCTGTCTTCTCTAGTCTATGGTCTATCATGGTTTTCCTGATTGATTATGTTTCAAATCTTCTGTCTTTGATGCATTCTCCAGACCAACAGCCCCTACAGTGCTTGATTAAAAAAATGTTCAGAATTGAATTGGGGCATATCTCAGAGGTAGAGCCCTTCCCTAGGCTATGTGAGGCCCTGGGTTAGATCCTCAAAACTGCCAAAAAACGAAATAATAAAACCCAAAACCCGCAGTGCACTTTGGTGACACCCTAAGTGAGCTTGAATCTTCAGGGTCTATAATTGCAACATTATGTAACTTTCTGATGTGTCCTGAGCCTCACTGGTATCTTTTGTCATATACCATCAAACACCACACCCAACACACCTGTTTCCTCTCAGTCCTCCATAATATGTTGCTCTGCCAATCTTTACTGCCTGGTGATAGCCAGGGATTCTGTTCACTGACACATCCTTGGGTTTCAATGCCTTGAGCCTCTCCCCTGGGTGCTCCTTTCTTACTCAAAGACAGTCCAAGCACTGCCTCTCCCAGGAGCCTCCTGTGATGCTATTCAGATGGCTGGGTCCCTCCCGCCCCTTTTCTGGGCCTTTATGATACCCAAAGGGAACATGTCCATCTGCCTCTTGTTTCCATGTTTCTATCTGAGTGTAATTCCGTGCTAGGCAGGCCAGCTCTGAATTCCCAAATCATATTCTTGTTTATGACTCCTGTGGACCCTCTAACTCTATGGCAGGCACAGGATGTATCTATTGACTGGAGCAGAACGTGACAAGCATTTTCTTAGTAAAATGGCCTCAGTGTTGGCCATGAGATATAAAGAGGACTTTTAAAAACTTACTTTAAAACAAATTGTCCATGCACATAATATCAAATCCAAAAGGAACAAAGGGGCTTAGAAAGAAAATTAAAAGTAGGTCACCTCTCAACCACCCAGCTCTCCTCCCCGGAGGCCACCACTGGTATCACTTTCTGAGTATTCAGTGCAGGCAATAATTGTCAGTCTCTTTTACTAAACCTCCTCCCCCTCACATTTTGCAAAAATGTAAACCAGAAAAGTTGTGAGGATAGTACAATACACACCCTTTGCTTAGATTTACCTCTTAATGTTGTGTTGCATTATGCAAAATATTTTATAAGCAATACATCTCTTAATTTACAATCATGTCAATTTTGTATATTAAGTCACTGAAGCATCTGGCAGGTGCCCAACGACACGGAGCTGAGGGATGGGGCTGGGTTTGCTCCTCCCTTAGGCTGCTGGAGGACTTTGGTCTGCCTACCTTCTGCAAAAAAGCATTCTTATTCAAAGTGGAAATCCACTTCCGTGGGACAGTCACCAGATAATCAGTGGAAAAGTACATAACTTTAAAAGCATTTGCTCCTTCTGAAGCCTTCCCATTCCTTAAGCAACAGCTGCTTGTCCCTGTTGCCATCCCAAGCTCCAAAGTCACCTCTATTGTGAAGGCTTGAGCTTCCTCACCTGATTTACAAACCCAGGATGATTCCCAGCTGCCAGCAGGTTGAGTGATATTCACTTACCTGCTCCTGAAACCCAAGGCTCTGGATGAGCCGGCCCTCATCAGGCCCCTTATCCCTTTCCTTTTTGCCCTTTCTTGCCCTACCTCCACCTCCAGCCACAGTGAAATTCTCAAGATCTGTTTACATCTCCTGGAAGCCCCTCACCCTCTCCTAAAAGATGTGTTTCCTTGCTCCCTGGAATCCTACACTTTTCTACCAGTGGCTTTGACAGCACCGGCAGGTTTGCTTCTGGCAAGGAGATTGGAATGGAAACCCTACTGTGACAGCCTGGCTCCTTCCTAACAGAATTACCCTGTACAAATGACTCCCAGTGTCTGCGCCTTCCTTTTCCAAAGCACATAATGAAGGAAGGAATGCCTAGTTGAAGACCTGGTGGAGTCAGCGTTTACTAATTTCTCATAAGTGACAGCTCGCTGAGGCTGTTGACTTCTTAGTCATCCCTGGAAACACTACCTCCTGTTGCCTAATTTTTCTGTTCCTCGGTTTCCTCATATGAAAAATATGTATGATCATGGAGCATTTGTAAACTCCAATGCCCTACACCGTTTGCAGCACTCAGAACAGTACCTAGCCCTTATTATTAATAATGCTATCTATGACTATGACGACTGGGCCTGGCACATAGTAGGAGCTAAAGTAATCCGTTCTGCCACGGTGTGTAGGCTGGGCGCGGGAAGAAAGGCCACCGTGGAAGTAAGGGGCGTGCGGGGCACCCGCCCCAGGTCGGCTCCACCCTCCCTCCAACCCTTGAAGGCCCCCGCCCGGCCTCAGCAGCTGTCAGGCCCACTGGCCTCAGCGCCAGTCCACCAAACCTGAACGTCCCATCCCGGCGCCCCCACCTTCCTCTCTCTGCCTGCACAAGTTACCTTGCGCTTGGTCACCCTCAGCCCCGCCCCGGGCGGCCAGTGGCTCAGAGGTTTCTTTGTTAGCGGTAGCGCGCGGCCACTATTGGTCAACGGGACTGTCGATCTCGCTGGCGCGGCCCCGCCCCTCGTGCCCGCCCCGCCCGTCGCCCGCTGCTCCCGGCCCCGCCCGGAGTGCGCGAGCGCTCCGTTCCCATTTGCAGCGGCCGCGGGCGCCCAGGGCAGCAGCGGCGGCGCGACAAGCGGGTCGCCGCGACCGGTGCCTGGGAGGCGGCCGCGGCGGGAGGCGACGAGCCGAAGCCGCGTCCATGGGCCCGCGGCGGCCGGGCGGCGGTGGTGCTGGCGGGCGCGGGGTGGTGCGCGCGTTGTAGGCCCGGGCGCGGCAGCGCGGCGTGCGGCGGGCCCGCGGGAGAGGCCGGGCCGGGCCTGCGGCGGCCGGCGGAGCATGCGGCGGCGGCCGCGCTGAGCCCTACCCCGCCGGGAGCGCGCGGGCCGGGCCTGCGCCGCCGCCGCCCCCGACCATGTCGGCGGCCAAGGAGAACCCGTGCAGGAAATTCCAGGCCAACATCTTCAACAAGAGCAAGTGTCAGAACTGCTTCAAGCCCCGCGAGTCGCATCTGCTCAATGACGAGGACCTGACGCAGGTGAGCGGCCGGGGCGGGCGCCTTGGGGGTCGCGGCCCAGGAGACCCAGTCCTGCGCGGAGACGCGCCCCGAGGCGGGCCGGGGGCGGTGGCGCCTGGAAAGGCCGAGGGGAAAATAAAAATGGAGCAGAAAAAAAAATGTATGTGAGTGCGGGGTGGGGTGTGGTGGGATAGGGGCTGGAGATGAGGGGCGGGGTAGAGCCTTGACAGAGCCGGGACAAAGGGAAAATCCTCAAGTATGTTGAAAAATAACATCCTTTCCCGTTCCCATACTCCTGCCGTGTGATTCATGCATTTCGGTGATTCAAAAATGCCTAGTTTTTCTCATTAGGAACAAAGCATCTGGGGGTTGCTTACTGCTTGGCAAGACCCCCCTCCGACTCTGTTTTAGGGTCAAATTCAAACTTGTCCACGAGTGGCCTAAGGCTTGTCTTGTCTGGATGGACCACGAGCTTCCGTCCGTGGGATTGAGCTGTTGTCACCGTCAGGGACTGGAGAGAAGTGGAGGGTCTCCAGGTTTGGGAGAATGTTGCTCCTTAATGTAAGCCAGAGGCTTTTGCTGAGGAGGGAGGTGGGGGCTGCTTGCTTTCCCTTTCTCTCCTAGTGCTGTGGTCTCTGGCGCTGGAGGTGAGGAGTACTGGGAAAGTTGGTTCATTCTTCCAGGTCTTAACTGACAGTTGAGGGCTTTGTACCAGTCTAGCGGCTCCTGAACCTGCCTGAGAGTCACAGACATCAGAAACACAGTCCTAGCTAGGCCCTCACCCTGGAGTGATGTAGGAGAGGAGGGATTTGTGTTGGGAAAGGTCCGGAGGTTTGACTGCAGTCCCCACTGTCGTTGGAAACCTCCTTCCCCCCCCTTTCTGTCTCATTGCTCTCTGAATTCCTGGTGTTGAGGTTCCCGAGGACCCTTGGGTTGTACCTGTGCACCCTTCTCCCCCTGTCCCTCATGCACTGCTTCTCATCTGAGCTTTCTCACAACTCCCTGTGTGAGGCCAGAGAAGCGCCTTTCACATTCCAGTTCACTATGACCTAGTTGTACCACTCCTTTTGCAAAACAAAACAAAATAACGTCTCACCCCCCCCCAACTACCCAAAACAACAAAAAATATCCTTAGAAACGTTACTTAGAAGGGTCCTGGCCTGACTGCTTTTAATGCCACTTAAGTGCAAGTAGGGTTTGGTTGTTTACAGGGCAGACAGGAGTGGGGTGGCAGGGCAGGGGTTATGGCCTAGGACATGGTGCTTTTCTCAGAGGTCAGGTTTCCAACTGACAGGAAAAGATCAAGAAGCTTAATCAAACTCTCAGGTCTTCAGAGTCACAGATTGTGAGGACACTAGGAGCTTAGACACAGGTCAGGTTAAGGACGAAGCTCACAAGATATTCTTGAGAGTAGAGGGTGAGCTTTTAAGAAAACCTTCAAATCTCTATTCTCATCTGGGTGCTTTTTTTCTGGAAACAGTTTATGTGTTGAGCTGGGAGACTTTCCTTCTAAACCTCGCTGTCACTTTAAGTGCTGTGACCTTGAGCAATGGAGGGGGGTTGCCTCTGTACATTTTAATTTTCTTATCTGTGAGTTGGTGATAGTGATCCCAGGTTTATTTCCATCATAGAGCTGTTGTGAAAAGTGAAGTTGTTTTTCCTCTTACAGTTTAACAAACAAACCAAAAAAAATAGCCCATACAATAGTCAACTTGATTTAAGAAGTTTCTGGACTTGGAAAAGGGCTGTTTTAAGAGAAGTTTGTTAAGTTTCCTGGTTCTTCTAAATAACTGCCAAAATTAGGCATTTATGCCACAGACGGGTGGGTTTTCTGATTTTTAAGGTTAGATTAACCTATAGTGGAATCTGCATGTTTGAATCATAACTTTTTTTAATCTGTTGGTTATTAATCGGACTCAAGGGAAGAGGCAAATACAAAATACTGTAATCTTTCACTGTATTCAAAGTTGAATTGTGGATTTTGAAACAGGCTTGAGACCTCCAGGGCAAAACTGGAATGGTAGTTTTTGAAATAATGAGCAGGGTTATTTGTGCTGGGAGAGATTAGCACAGCGTTGTACCTCCTGGGATCTTTCAGGAAGAAACTACTCTTGAAAAGGGAGGAGGGAGACTCAGGGCTGTTGCCAGCAGCCTTTCTGCAGCTCTCTGCATCCGGCCCTCCCCCACCCGCTTGCTCTCATCCTTCTGTCTCCATTAGAAAACCTCAGCCAATTGGTTCCCATCAGTCTCCCCTCAAGCCCCTGCTTCCTGCTGTCCCTCCCCTCCGTGAGCTTATTTTAGACTGTCCGTAGACTGTTTAAGCTGGAAGACACATCAGCGATCATCAGAGCCGCCCCCATTTCGATAGGCACAGACGCCCAACCCAGTGGGGCCAGCTTTGTGGCTTTGCTCCTGGGATGTTGTCTTCCCAGGATCTGACGTTTCTCCTGGTGTTCTGATTTGGGCTTTATTTCTTCAGCTGTGGGTTTTGTTTGTTTTTCTCCAAGAGAGGTACAGTAACTTTTTCCAGGCCTTGCTTTGTATTGTGGCATCAGATCTGGAAGGGACTTGGAGATCAGCTAATCTAATCACTTCCTTTTTTTTTTTTTTTTTTTTTTGACAAGTGAGAAGACTGAAATCTGGAAAAAGGAAGTGATTTTTTTCAGTGCAGGGATGGCCAGAATTCTTTAACCATGTTTCTGTTTTCTGGGTGTCTGAGGACATCCCAGGGCACATTACGAGGAGAGCAATGTCAAAGATAGTTATGTTGCAGAAGGTGCTCAGGAATGCTATTCTTGGGCACAAGAGTTCCTTGCCTTTTCCTCATCCCTGGAATTCACAGTTTTGGGATAAGTAATGAGGCATAGTCCAGTACTACTGGTTGTTGCATGTTGCAGTTCCAGATCCCTTGTCCACAGTGTCCTGTTTTCTTTCAGTTGTCCTGTGCATTTTTGTCTGTGTACATATAAATTCAGATACACATTTAGACCTTTTTAAGACGTGAATTGTGTGCATATATTTGCACTGCAGTGATCCTCCCCCCCCCCCATTTTGGAGTTATTTTCATGATGTTACATATAGATACACTAGTCTTTTTGCATGTTGGACTATTAGGGAAGTAGTGTTAACATAACCCATTTCTTACTGATGGGCATTGAGGTTACTGATGAGTTTTGCTGTTATAAATAGTGAATGCTTCAGGCAAATGGCTGTATAAGTGCTTTTGGGTGTGTGCTTGTGAGCACGAATGCAAGTATTTCTCTGGAGCAGATACCTAAAAATGGAATGGCTGGGTTGACATCAAGTGCACTACATTTTTTTAGGGATACTACCAAGTTGCCTTCCAAAAAAGGCTGTGTCATAACATTTCCAGGACTGGATATTATGAAATGATTTAATTCTTTAGTAATTACCAACGAGGTTAAGTCTCTGCAGTATTTATCGAGGAGTTTGTTTTGTTTTTGGTGGATTACATGTTTGTGTTGTTTGGCTGTTTTTCTGTTGGGTTAATACCTCCCCTTAATCCAATTTGTAGGCCCTTTCTGTTTATGTCTTAGGTCGGGAGGCTTTAAACTTCTTCTATAAAAAGTGAGATAGCAAATATTTTAGCCTTTATATGCCATGTAGTCTCGTGGCAGCCATGAAACTTGGTCATCATGGTGCAAAATGAGCTGTAGACAACATGTAAACTAACAATTTTGTTCCAATAAAACTTTATTTAAAAAAATAGGCAGCTGTCTGGATTGGATCTGTGAGCATAGTTTGCCCAACATTTTCTAGATCGTAATTTGATGCTCACTATACATGGCCAGTAGTTTTTCAAAGTGTCAGTTGTCTCTACCTGTGGTTGGTTTTCTTTTTCACTTGGTAGGCTCTAAATGAATGCAGTTAAGGCTAGGTAGATAGTTTAGTGATGGAGGATCAGCTTAGCAATGTGCAAGGTTCAAGGTTCAAAATAATATAAAATACAATGAATGCAGTTAAATTTCTATTTTCTTTTATGGTTTGTAATTTCATGTCTCATATGTGAGAAGGATTTTTGTCAAGATTTTTTAGTAGTCTCCAATACTTAATTATTTTGTAGTTAGCTTTATGCTTAGCTTTAAAAATTTATCAGATTTGTTTTTTCAAAACATTATGTTACTAAAGGCAGATCTGGTAGAGGTCATGGAAGTAGTTCAGATAGATAGCTACAAAGGTCTTTTCTCTAGACCAGTCCTGAGAGACACTAAGAATGTTGTGGATTGAAGATGTGGGGGATTGGGGATAGAAGTATCTGTAACAGAGATTGGGAGTAATGGGTTTGGGGTTGTGAAGGGGTAAGAAATATGATAATAAGTTTTACCTTGGGAAGGTGGATGTTTACTGTAGTTTTAAGAAAGTCATCTACTTAGGCAGTAGGAGGTGATGGTTAGTGCCTAGCTGAAAGTGGGCCTGGGGGTCTTTTACGTGGAGGTAGTTGCTCAAGTCATGGGAGTGAGTGTGATTTCTTAGGAGAAAGAATCAGTAGCGGGAACCCCCATGTGATAGATGGCAGAAAAGGGGAAGCCACGAGGGAGGCTGGGATATAGATCAGAGAGGGTTGGTTGGTGACTAGTAGCAAAAGCAGATCTGGGCTGCAGGGCTCTTAGCATCAGTATGAGTCTTCAGGGTTCCCAGTTAATCTACTGCTTCTCTGTGGAAGGAGCCACCGTGTTCCAACTCTAGTCTTTTGTCTTCCTCTGCTTTGTTAATGGGACCTAGGTTGGATCTTCGTCTTTCTCAGGTCTCAGTTCCTGCATCTGGAAATGAAGTTGGGCTTAATCTTTCCTGGGCGTATTAGTCCCCTTGATCTGATTCCACCACGGCCCCTGAAACCACAGAGTGGCACAAAGGTGGGCTTGGACCAGCAGTCTATGCAGCATTTATCAGGATTCTCTTAGTTCTTATGACATTATTAAATGTGGTCATTTTTTAAAAGAAGATTAGTAACTTATATGTGGCTTGGTACATTGACAGAGGGTGTGCAAAATACCCCAGAC